ACCGACTCTTAAATTATACCAAGCTCCTACTCCAAAACAAGACTACAAAAACCGTACAGAAGTACAGAAGCAAAGTAATGCCTAAGACCAGACAAATAACCTTTCCTGGTGTCCTAATGTTCCTGGTGTAGCTTAGTTTCGCAAGCGGCACGAATACTGACCTAAGACCTTGGCTGGTTTCATGAAGTTAAGTCCGCCGAAAATTCACACAAATTAATTTATTATTTGCCCGATCTTGTTTCGTTTTAGTGGATTATTTTGGCCATTCTGAATTCAATTCTACATTCTAAGCAATGATAAGGAGATACCTGCCACTTTCCTGCGCATTTCAAACGATACCACATAATGCTCTCAGTACGATTAAAGTTTCCTCGTTCCTTTCATTCTTCGCGGATACAAATTCACAGTCGCATGCCATAAAATAAACTATTTGATATCGCATTCACAGCCCCAGCAACATCTCTGGTAAAGCCTCATTCGTGTCGCTTTAGTCAGCGACTAGCTTGTCTCACACAGACACTGTCACGTCATACCCTGGCCACTTCCGCCGAACATCAACTTTTGTGTAACAAAAATAGTATCACCTGAACTTGATGAAATGGTCTTCTAATGTCAAACGCACCCGAGTTCAAATGAGGCTTTATTAAAGGGACACTCCCACCTTAACATTAGTTTTGAGTTGAGATAGCCAAATTGATGGCCATGGCCTGCAAATACCGGTTTGGGCACTCACAACATCGACAAATGCTTTAATTCGGAGATATGGAATTTCAAACTTGCAGTTTTCGGATTCTAAGGGGTTAGTGCATTGGTATGCCCCCTTAGAATTTGTGATGTCAGCGGAGATCTAACGATTTTTAAATCTTTTACTAAAACGTTTGGTAGCACGCGGTGGTATATGCTGCTTTGCGCGCAACAAATGCCGCACTTTCAAATAAAGTCGCTAGGAACAGCGGAGATCCCAAAAAGTAAACAAAAGTAAAAGTCTAATATCTTGAAAACCGGTGAATATTTTTCGATGAAATTTTGTAGATATTCGTTTTCGCTCTTTCTGAACCGAGCGACATCACTTTCGTGCCAATTCATTAACTTTTTTGAAGGTGGGAGGGTCCCTTTAAGTTGAGCAGTCTACGTGTCTTCGTATGTCCAAAACCGTTATTAAACTATGTGCACTATTCGTTGACATTCCAAGAAAAATACTGAGTTGAGTTCCGTAAATTCGATCGTTGAAGCACTACATTATCAGCTACACATCAGGTCGTATATGCTAAATAGGGCTAATTCAAACAGAGCGCGAAGGAGCATCATCCGTATTTGATAAAAAGCTCAGAAAGCATTACAAAGTCAATGACCTCCACGTGAGCCGGGAGGTGCTTATTTGGCACGGTCCCGGACATGAAGGTTTGCGTGATCGGATTGTCTGGTTGCCATGACGACGCTGTTGCTCGGCTGAACGTGTCCGACTCGTCCGACTCCGGACATAGTGCAACTCCCTAATGAGATGGCTAATCCTATCCCCGTAACTAGGTATTACGGACAGGGGGCGGAGGGGTGCATTTCGACAAACACATTAGCCAACTGTGGGACAGCGGCTTAGTCTGGCCGGTCGTTGACTGACCCGTGTTGTAAGTTGGCTGATATTCACCCAACACGACATTAATATCCTTGAAATAGGCGGCACAAGTACACCGCCGTATCACCAAGCGACGGTGAGCTTTGTAATATGATATCAAAGCTTATATTAATGTCATACGCCGCTTTGATGATCTATGACAAAAGCATCAGGAACTGCCAGAAATGCGGTGAAATTGAGTGAATGTTAAGTTCCAGCGAATAGAATATGTTTCAGCTTAGTCAGTCGAGCTCCATCTCAGCATAGCGCCAGGACATGTAATGCAGCATTTACAAATGTCGCTAACTATATTTTAACACAAACAAATCACGATTTCCAACAGTTCCGTTGACTACCCCTCACAGTTTCACTCGAATTCACTGGTAGGCACCCAAGTCACGCATCACCGAACGGACTGAAGTCGCTTGGAAAACGACAAGTCCAGCCCTTCTCGACACTCTCGACACGAGCAGCAATCTTCGGCGCCAAGATCGACATGAAGAAATCAGACGCCGGTTTTATACGATCGTTTGCGTAACTGAAAAGAAACACTATCGACGAGATAATAAATCTAGTAGCCTTTGCGACCGCGAAACCTTTGCCGAGCATCCAACTGCAACAAGGAAAGAAAGTCATTAAAAACAAAAAGTGAAAAGACGTCCTTACACACTGCTTTGGTGTTTCCATTTTAACCATGATTTCCCGGAAAAGATTAGGAACAAGCAAACATGAATAATGAATATGGACTGAATGGATATGGATCAACTCAACCCGTGTCCATGAAAAGAAACGGAATGCATTTAAGTAAAAATGTGCAAAAGTGCGCAAAATACTACACTTCAGGCTAATGTATAAGCTTGGAGTTCGAAACAAAAAATTAGACACGATGACAAGATAAAACCTGACTGAATCTGGTAAGAGGACCTCGAGGAATTGTGGAACACAATGACATCGAACAAGGCGAAATAAAGACACGACCGGAGCCAAGATTCTCGACAAAACAGCTGGAATCCGAGGCCGATCCGATATTAGGAAAACGAAACCTCCATAAAGTACATCATCAGGAGCATGACGCATGGCGGAAGCCGAAACATGGGATGGAGTGGAGCGGACCCTTTAACACAAACCACGGAGTTGGGTGGATGGAGTTAGCGAGTTCGGAACTCGCAACCTCGTCGAACAAAGTAAAATAATACGGCGGGATTAATCCATAAAAAGCAATGATGAATTGAGGACCGGCGCAAATGGCGGTGGAAAAGGCTGGGAGGCACGGCAAGGAAACTTAGGGGAATCATTCCTCATGAAAACACTGTCCCTTATCAAAGTTAAATGATTGAGTATTCTTAAGTAATAACAGCTCTGAAAATAGCTATTAAAATGTTATTTTTAAGCAGCATCCTTACTAGGTAGAGAGCCTGATCAGAATTTGAAAGCCAAGCAGCTTCATTTATGGAGCCGAGCCACTATGCTATGATATCGGAGCGGTAAAGGCGACAACTACGCCACCTTCTGGTGAACGGCCGAACTTGTGTCCTATTCAGGTGGCGCCACTGCCCACGCCCAACGACGTTTTACGATAAAGTGATGAACAAACGCCAGCAGGATGTGGATTCAGAATTCAGGAAGACAATGGCGTACTCACCAGCGACCGTTTGCACTCGAAGAAGGACCACTTAAGCTGGAGGCACTCGTCGGGGACGGTGTGATCCGGGTGGGTGAGACAGTCCTTGGGCAGACGGCCGCCCTGCCGGCGGAGAGAGGGGGGGCGTGAATGGGCGATCGCGAACTACGCGATCGCTGACTTCTTATATATTTCATCCATCACAAGCAGAGAGTATCTCAGTCTCTGACTGCTGATATCACGCATGAGTGTCAAATTAATGACAGAATTTCTCTTATCCTGACAACAAGAGTGCCAAAATACAATCAGTTGCTATATCTTAATGATAGATGCAAAATATCTATCACTTCAGTTGCCCTTAGAGTGACAAAAAATATCAGAGTCCCCCTATCCTACATGATCAGAGTGGCAAAAAATTATACCACAGTCCCTCCTGCCCTACTCACCTTGACACATGGACTATTCATGATGCAGGTTTTCAGTTCCTCTCTCAGCCCCTGGCAGGGCACAGTTTGCTGAGCGATAGGCTCATCATCCACATCATACTTCTGTGGCATCTTGGCTGCTTTTATGGAGAGGTTAGGACCTGTGCAAGAAGAGGAGTATTTTCAGCAGAGTTCTCAGTTCCAATGATAGCCAACAGGCAGATATGAAGTCACAGTCAGTCACCTTACAGATTGAGATGGCAGCTGATAATTCATGATTTATTGTCATATCTCTGTGCAAACACCTGTAGAGTCCATTAAAAGGATCTGAATGATCATCTCAGGTCAAATGCATCAACATCACTGCTGAGTTTTGAGGAATGATTCGAAGTGGTGCTGCAGTTGCACAACATCATATCAAACCATCACAGCCTGTCCTGACCCCTCAGCACATGACATAGACTGAGACCGCTTCAGATGCCTTAGCAGCTTTAGCGACAAAGCACAACTGGCAGTCTGCATTACAGCATCTGAAACAATTGAGAAAAATTAGCTTTTATTTATCTTGAAAGTCCTGTTGACATTAAAAATGATTACAAACATTGGTATACATTATCTGGTCATTTCTTTGAGTGTTTCAGCTTTGATTTGCCTCTTTTTCAGAGACTAGGTCAAGGTGGGTAAATCCAGCTTGAAATATCGTTTCAGTCGACAGTCGAAAATATCAGTCGAAAATATGATACAAATATGTAAAACGACACTATGTCACTGTTCCTTCAAAGTTATATGACTATTCTTTGTATTTTCACCGTTAAGTGCCAGTTCAGTCACCCTATCCTATTTGTTATCCAACTCCCAATCCAACGCCACTCCAAATATACTTCTTTTTTTGTTCGAAGCCAGTTACTGCTATTTTTTGGAGCTTGACTTGCTTTACGAGAATAACGTCATCGCTACTTTCATGAGCAGCAATCTGCAGTTTCATTGGTGGCCATTGTGCTAATGACATCATCATACGATATTTTGCTGCTGACAAAAATAGTGCTAGAAATTTAGAACACCTGTTTTTTGTCTTTGATCCTTCTTGTTTGTCTCAAAATTTCCAGCTGAGTGATATTAAATGACGTCAAAATAAGTACTCCCGGTGTTGTGCCTATTCTTCGCCGAGAGTATATAAAGAATATCATTTTCAGGGTTTTTTTCTCATACATCGTCAAAATATTTGGTCATCGCGTTTTATACTGAGAACTAAGAGTCAAAAGTCACCAAAACCTTATATGACGTCATACACTCCTTTCGAAATCAATCAAACGGACCTTGAACTGTAAACAAACTCCAATTTGACTGGGTGCGCCAGTTCTTGCGAGCTGCGGGCGGAGGTGGGCGTGTGAGATGGCGATTGGAGTGGGGCTTATAAGCTTTTAGTGCTGCTGCTGATTTTGCCCTTTTTATATTCATTGACTGTGACTACTTCTATCCTGATCACCACTCAAATAACCCCAGGAAAAGCCCACTCTCGCCAAAGAGTTGTAGCCCACAGACCAGGCCCCCAGCTTTCAGACTTTATCTAGCTCAAACTCACACTGGGTCTTAGTGATATTATTTGTATTCAAAATGGATGATAAGCAGTTAGCATATGAAGCAATGTGTGCTGGTGGTGATGTAGGGAAGCCAACACCTTGGAAGAAGAAAGACCAAAATCCAGGAGCCCAGCGCAGGGTCCTCTGGGATGATTCGACAGAGGGCGGAGAAGAAGAGTAAGTGTTTATCATTCAGCAGATATAAGCTGATGGGATCATGCGTTTCTGTGAGGCTCGTCTCATTTGTTTGGGTGTGTTTGTTCATTTTTCAGCATCATTATGTGCTTTACATTTTGTCTTATGCTAGCAGTCTAGATCAAGATAGGTTCATATGAACTGGCTAACTTAAACTTGCATCTTAGGACTGCTATTTTCTTCTAGGACATCTTTTATGTCAAAAAAGAGTTGTGATCCTTTTAGGCTTGTGAAGCAGCCCTGCCTATCGTGGAATATTTTTGCAATTCTCAAACACAAACAGGCTAGTTGACAGAGATTTGTGAAATTCTTATCCCAACAGTGAGGAACTTTGGTATGCCAGTGTAACTGGATTAAATAAGTGATGGCTTGGAACATTTTTTGCCCATTTGTCCCATTGCTTTAGCATCGATTCCATGTAGGCACACAGTGTATCGTCATGCAACTTTCACATGTTTATATTCAGCTCTTGACCACAAAGTCTGCATTAAATCTGCATTGCCTCAGCAGGTTATTCCTCCTACTTGAGAACAATTCTAGTGCAGACATGCCCTGCTTGAGAGCCTGACATTACAGCAAACTCTGCCTGACTTTTTCTGCTATGTCCCACTCCCATCCCATCGCTTCTTTGATCTGCGAGGAGAAGGCCTCAGCCCTCAGGTAACATTTTCCGCTTACTGACACTACTTTGTGCCATTTTGATCACATCTTAGCGTGTCTCACCGCCCTGGGCCGCTAAAGTGACCGATACTCGTAAATCAGCGCCGAGGCTCACGGCTCTGGGCGATCTTTGTGACTAGGTTTGGCCGACTCGTCACGTAACCGTCATCGGTACCGCGCTGGTGGTCATACTGTGGGCGCTCCCACTCCCCGCCCCCCGTGTGACCCGAGTCCCGACCCTCGGCTGCCGGTACGATCCGTATGAGCCGTTCTGCTGTCGGTTGACGCCATCCAGTGACCACATACAGCGGTGTTTGTATGTTGGGACCGCCGCCGTGGGTGGCGGGTGACCACTGACCAGCCGGTGAGGGGGGGGGCGTCACGGCGGTCACTGGTCGGTGGACGATATGTGGTAGATATCGTGACGCCGTGACGATATGTAATGGTGTCACGGGCAGGAGCGTGACGATCGAGTCAGTGCAAATGTCACTCTGATGAAACGGTGATCTTTTTGAGCTGGACATGGCTTCGTTCACTGAAGATAGGGACATCGATGTTATCAAGACCCTTGGGATTGGGAATGTAGCCGGTCGTTGCTTTCACCTGCGAGTGACCGGTGCGGCGTCCCGTTACTTCAGAGAGTTGAACTGGGAAACTCATCGACATCCACGTCGGGATTACCGAAGTCGAGAGATGAGATGTACACGAGTCTCAGAGAGCGCTGAGTTGAATGTTGAATCAGCCGTTGATTCCAATACGTTCAAATAGTTGTTTGCATTTGGTCTGTTGTATTCACGCTGAGCGAGTAGACCGTCTATTGTACCAACCTTAGCGCTCTTCGGCTAACCTGGAACAGATGTGTCACTGTCGGACCACGGGTCTTATTTGAATTTCAGCTATCTCTCAGCAGTGATTAACCCTGGTATTTCCGCAGCTGGTTTGGCACGTTCGGCGAGCGAATAGTTGGACGACCTTGGAGCGCCACGTTTCCACAAATTGAATTCCGAGAGACCAATATTGGGTTCCGAGTGTGATTGGGCACAGTTTCACCTTTTTGTCCTACGAAATTACCAGAGCTGTCAAATATCAGTCGACTACCCACTTCATTTCGATTGTCTACGGCGACACTCCTTGGCCAAACCACTCCTTTTTTCACTCGACGTCTCAACCCCATCCCGTCCATGCCTTTATCCACCGGGGACCATGATCTCACCGCACTTATATGGTCTTCCTAGCGACATTTTATGTTGATCCCGCCGTAACGACAGCCGGTGAGGCGGTACTGCGGCCATCCCACGCTTTCTGCTGTCGTGTCCGATGGTCACGGGAATGGACGTTGAGCGGCTGTCACGGTATGGGTCGTGGAACTTTTGACAGACGCCGGCTCTGGTGGGACCGCCGCGCCGGCGCTATCGGAGCCGTGGGTGTTCCGGCAGATGGGCGGGGTGTGTGCAGTCGGCGGCCATATCCACGGCTAGAGAGTGTTCAGCAAACACGCGCGAATATTGTGGGAAAACGAAAGAGCGCAAACTATCATTCTTTCTATGAAGTTCTTCAGAATTCCTGATCTTTTTTTGTATTATTATGCCACCGAACCAAGTCCGTTTCTGTCATGTTTTGATTGGAGGCTGCCGCTGCTAGAGTTCCACCAGTCCCACCTTCCATGTTCTCGTAAAGCCAACATTTTCTGTGTCACACAGCGGCTTTTGTTTTCATTGGGATAACTGGCGCACAATAGGGCTAATTGGGTCATTTGTTTTCATTTCTCGCGACGTCATTTATCCAGCGGACTCAGTGGACGGAAATATGTGCTGATGTCGCACGCACGGGAGAACCCGCGTTGTCCATGGCTCAGTCCCGCGATAGATTCATGGAATACGTCCGGCTTGTAAGGACAAATCCATATCGCCTTGTCCTGACCACAGATATTTCTCTCGTCATAACAAGCTGCCATTGAGTGACTTCCAACAGTCAACACGCAGTCATTGGCCATGTAGTGCTCTCATGACACCGCTAGCTGCCAATGAGTGCTCTAATGGCGTCAGTCACTCGCCGCTGAGTGCTCTGTTGTTTTCTATATACCCCGAGTGCTCCTATCTCGTCAGTCATTCACCCTGGAACGCTCCTAAGTGAATACCGTGCTCGTGCATAGATCGCCGCAGGTATCCCCGATCAATCACCGATGACTTCTGCTGGGGACTGGCCCAGGCGGCGTCTCCCTGCGCCTCCACCCACGGCTGACGGCGCCCGGATATCGCGGATTGATGGGACATTTATAGCAGGGCGGCGCCGCCCGGATCAGTGTGGTGGGACAGGGCGGCTGCGATAGGAGAGGTGCGGCTTCTTCTGGCCGACCAGAGGATGAACCATGCTTATTGCTTAAAGTGCTTACATGTGTAAAAATTACTGGCGATACATTACGATTAATATGCTATTCTTATCCCACGGTCTATTGAGTACTGGTGTCATCCTGCCGCTCTCATCTCATCCCTCTGCATCACCAGTGCAGTAGTCGGTCGAAGCTCTCTTTTTAAGTCGCCGGTCTGCATCTCCACCGTTGATCGATGGCGCCGGAAGGGCGTGTCGGCCTCCCCCTTACGTCACCCCTGTCTGGCACAGGACGCCGCCCCCACGGCGACGCCCTACTCCCCCCCCCCCGACCCCGCTGTGCCGTCTGTGTTGCCAACCTGAATCCGAGGGGGGATATTGATTATTCCGCATGGTCGATAAAGCCAACTCATGGCACCAAGTACTTACAGGTGCAAGTAAAATAAGCATGTTGGCATTAGTACTGCCCCGACGCTACCTGAGTTGATGTTTCCGGCGTTGTTTGCTGGCCAGGATTTGTTTTAAGGACATCTGTACAGTTTGTCTTTCGAAACGGTTTTACTCTAGCTACTGCCGTTTTACTGCCTGTTCAAGAATTCATTGGAGTTTTTGTTAGCTACTTTATCATGCTAGAAGCTCGACAAGCAATTCTAAGACCTACCATTGTTCTTTTATTCTTATTTATTCCACTGGCCAGCACCATTTCTGGATGTGAAATGGAGTGGTCCTGTCCAGCCGTCGCCACCCCCTCCTGAGGAAATATGGATGGCGTCTTTCCCCGTGTCAGAACCACAACATATCGCATCTCTGTACGATAGGCCTGCTGTCTGATCTGTCCAGAAAAGAACTTGTTATGGATATTCGTCGGCGATTGGCATCACAGTTTGGCTATCGTTCCATCTTGTTTGACGCCTTGCGTCGAGAGGTGGCCAATCGTGAATTGTAATCGGCGACGTACTACGATAGAGCGTTAGTTATTTATGGGCATTCACTTTTAGATTCTTCTCGCTACTGTGGCTGCGTTTCGCTGTTTCCTCCCCTAAGTCTCTCCTTGCTACCGGTGCGGCTGTTCCCTCGGGTCCTGGCGGGGCGTGACGCACGGTAAACACGACCGTTTATAAACACCTCTCCGTAAACACGTTACACTGAGTGATGCGGCAGTCGTGTCAAACGTGTCAACAGCACGCCATTGCCACCCCGGCTGCGCGGAAAAGCAGCTCGAGTCGGAGACGTTTCTGGAGAAAGGGGAGGGTGATGTCCCGAATTTGTAAGGTACCTAGCTGAAATTCCAGCGTAATGTCCTTTTACTGAGGCATGCAAAACTCCTGGATGGTCTGACTCGATAGAGGGTCTTCGTTCCGTCACTCAGCGCATGACCGGTGTGCAGTATCTTCGGCTATCTGCCGTGTTTTGACTACGCTGACAGCATGTCGACAGGTCGCTCGCGGCGTCTTACTCAGCGGTCTGCGCTCAGTGTGCTCAGTGTCGACCATTGCAATACTTTGCTGAAGGTAGACTGCGTTTTGGTTGACATTATCAATGAAAACTAATGTAATTTTGTGGACCTGGGATATTTGTTCTGGCTTTATTGTCCACTTTGGAACACTCGTGATTTATTGACAATGCTCTTCTTGGATGTCTTTCGAAGCCTTTATTGCCTGGTGATAAACCCTTTTCACCTGCTCTTATCTCAGAGCCTAAAGGAGCGTGTATAGCGCTCCTTGCCGGCGTGGAACCCCTCTCCACGGCCTTACATACATTGCCGGCGTCTCACTACCGTATATGGTCTGTAGTGTGGTGCGTGACCCGACGTCCAATGAACGAAGACGCGCGGGTTTCACAACAGTCCGCCCCGCCGCTGGAGGAGACGGTACTCCCTGACTCCGGGGTCACAGCGTGCAACCGCACGGCGCGGGTGAAATAAACGGAACTCGGACTGTGAAATTAGTTGAATTTGATCAATTGCCTCTAGGTCGAAAGATGCCTTCGAAGGCACTGGATAGCGAAGATCTCTGAATAAATAATTGCATAGGTGCATAGGTGTATTAGGACTGCATCTACACAAAGTCCATTCTGCATCATAATTTCCCCAATATGTATCATAAGCAGCATCCACACAAACTTACTTCTGGCGTCATTTTCCATTCGGGTCCCCTCAAACCGCTGCGGTGCGAGACGCTCCTCACCCTGCGTCCCGCGTGAGTCAGAGGGCTTTGGGACGGCGTGTCCCTCGTCGCTCTGAGGCCAGAGACGTCCCGGGCCTGCAGTCGGTGCAGCGGGCCACCAGCTCGGCGGCCCGGGCCCTCTGAGTCACCGCTAGCTGATAAGGTTGGGGGAGGGGAATAGGAAGAGGGATCTTAGGCACCCCAGTGTAAAGGGATGACCCGCCGTCGCGTCGCGACGGTGTTTTGCGGTTGGGATATTTTGTAATGAGACCACACTACTGGTGCTATCAGGGTAGTAGGCAGGTGTGGAAGACAGTAGCCAATGATTCACGTTTGGGTCCTTGCCTATCAATGCTGCATTAGCACGCTAATCCTTGCACCAGCTAGCAAAGATAGTCCGATGTTGATTAGACCGTGTGGGTAGTGGTCACCGGCTATTCCGAACCGGACAAATGAACGTACGGTCCGCTTTCGTCCAAATATTCCAATCTAGCAGCACAGCTATTCTACCTACCCACACACCGGGTGGATTCTAGTTGCTAACGACTTGCACTCATGGCTCCCCATTTCAAAAATGGTTGTTACTATGCCGTGAATTCAGAGCTATTTGACCGATTTTGTCCCGACGGCTACGTATGGTCAGATACTGGTTTGTTTGCCTCCGACTGGTTATTACGAGAGCTACGGCCTGAAGCTTCCGCGGCCATATACGTGCCCCGTACGGCAGCCGGTCCGGCGGCACCCTTTGATCGACGAGCGGCGTCTGTGTTTGATTGGTGGGTGAGATCGGTGAGATCACCGTCCGTTCGCCGACCCAAACCTGTGGACCCGGCACGGCCTCTGATGTCAGGGTGGGCCACCGGGGCAGGCGCTGGGTTGTGTATGGCAGGGGGAAACAGAAACACGGATGGCGTCATGGGTTTTCAAAAGGTGGTGGACGGTGGTGATCAAAATGGCTATTGCTTTTAAAAGGCCATGAGGTCACGTTGGTGCGGATATTGCACTGTATTTACTGCTTTTATGACGACTTTCTCTGGCGCTTACCGTACTTCGATGATATCATACTTTGAAGACTTAACCTGACCGTAATCAGCTGTATCCCTGCTTTCATCGGGCTTCAATCTGGCTTTGTGGGGCCCCATGTGTGATTGAAGGGCTTCTTATCTAAATGCACTCTTCAATTCACTGATGCACACCGTATGAGTCAGTTTTTCACCCTCTTACTATCAACTGATTATTAACAGTCGACTTAATGTTGGCTATCATGTCAAGCTGAAGCACATCACACAATATCACGTTAAAGTCCGTGGGTTGTGATTGAATCGGCTCACTCAGTGCGGCCAATCACAATCGACGTCACATGCGATGTGTGATGAAATGATGTGTTTTTTTCTCATGTGTTTGATCGATATGGTCATCACTTATCGGCCTATTTAACCTCTTGACATGAGGTAGTGCAATACTTTAACGTGAGTGAAATGCGTCAGCACATAAAGATATTGATTTGTGGTGTCGTTTCAACCTAAATTGACTGATAATGTCACCCCACCCCACCTGTCGATTGGAGCCCATCGATTTACCGCGTGGCAATGTTTCACGGGTGACCATTTGCCGAATTGAATCAACTAATTAGTGTTGCTGTAGTTGGTAGTTGCTTTTGAGGCGGTCAAAACTAACAACGAACTATTCGTAATGCACTGTTCCACATTCACCTGGCCACTATGACAGATGTGTCTGCATTCAGATATGTCTGCATTCCGATGTCACAAGGTCATAGAGCGTATTAGTCTATGTCACGTGTCACGCCCAGGTCACGTGTCACACTGAGGTCGTGACCGATAATTCGTCAGATCGGCATTAGCGCCAGGAAGCCAGAGGTTCCTAGATCACTCAGTTCACGCGTTCGTGCCGTTCGCTGGCCGGAAAATGACGGTGACTTTGCATGTGTCAGTTGAATTACGCGCGGTAAAACACCGCGATTTCGTGATGTTCGTGACGGTATGTCCATTAAATTAAGACGATGGATTAGGGTGAAGTGCGAGCCGCAGAGACTTACCAGCTCCTTTTTACTATCACTCTGCTCAATTATTCAAACGTTTTAAGAATTCATTGCTATGCCAGGTCAGGGGGTAACTATCGGGGTTATTACGACCGTCTGACCTAGTCTGACCCAGTCTGACCCCGTTTGTCACCGTCTAGCCTCGTTTTCCCGATAGGTAGTGCAGCGATTTCACGTTCCGTGATATATGGCTGTTATCTGTCGTGTGCTGTACGCGAAACCCATATCGGTCAGATCGCTGCACCAGGTTTACTGTTGAAGATTGTGGTGGGTGAATGTCTGCTCCACGGATAGATAGCTGTGTGTGTGGCGAGACTATCACCTCGCAATGCCTTTCCGTGCCGTTCCTACCATGCTCTGCGCTGATCCCTGCCGTTTGGTCTTATCCTATTATATCTTGCTCCTTTCTGCTCCACCCTTATTTTGACCTGACCTGACCTGACCTTCATGACCTCACCTGATCCGTTGTCATCTGCGTTTTCAGACCCTGCCTCACTCTTCCCATCCTGCTCCATTACGCGAGCTGATCTGACTTGATCTGCTCTGACCTCATACCTGACCCGACATGACCTTACCCTCTCCCTCCGCAGCATCACGCTACCTGAGGAGGACGAGTGGCTCATCTGGGCCGGCGGTCCGGGCCGAAAACAGGCGCTGCTCCGGTTCAACGCGGCCAACCTGGATGACGAGCCGCCCGACCCCATCGGCCGCCAGTACCAGATGCTCTTCAAAATGCAGAACACGGACAGCAAGTGAGTGGAAACCCGCCGCGCTGCTCCGGAGCCGCTCACATCAGACACTCGCATCAGATCGTTTCGTATCTGACGGCCGTTAACAATGCATGCACGGTGCATGTTTCCGCTTTGTTTGTGTCTGTGTTTGCCGCGTGATCGATATCCAGATCAGCTTTCCGGCATGTTTGCGGGGTCGTGCGGAGCGCAAACAAATGCCATTGTTTGATGGTGGGTGGCCTGAGCTGCTGCCACCCCTCCCCTACCACTACCCTCTGCACTTGTCTTACAGATGAGACCGGTAGATGCGTGCTGCATTTGAACAAGCCCATTATGTTGTGCCTGGTTTTACATGCCGAGTTGATTGTGCGTGGGTGCCCCATCTTGCAACATTTCCTGTTAATGTAATTGGAAACCGAGATCACCAGTGTGCGTGTTTTCGCTACTGTGATCTAGCTGCTTTGATCTGCCGCCAACTGTGCTCTGCTTTCCGGCCGAGTTTGCAAATGAAAGGTATTAATATTCTGGCCGTGATACTAGCAGCTAGCCTTGGTTTTTCTGTTTTGGCGCCCGATGCTGACAAAAAAGCATCCACCACCGCCACTGTCTTCACTACAATTCAACTTTCGGTACAACCTTACTCGCATGCTATTAATCACTTTCGACATAACCATCGACATCGGCATAACCATTCCGACATAACCGACATAACGACATCATCATCATCCTCAGACTGTTCCGGCGAGTGATGGACGTCCACGGGATCAGCGAGTCCTCGGCGTCTGTCAGCGACTTCAATATCCTCTGGACCGGGGTGCACCCGAAGCCGTTCGTCCTGCGGAACCTGTACGACTACCAGCGCGTCAACCACTTCCCCAGGTGGGTGTTCAGGGGTTACGGCGGATGGTCAGTGATTGGTCACTGTTCTCTGGGTACTGCGCTTCGCTCACTCGTGGTTGTCTGTATTGATTCCAGTTCGGAATGAAGCGATTTGGCGAATGAGAATGACTGATGGCTTGGTACTCATCTGAGTAAATGTTGATAGTGTGTTATTTTTATGTATCCTTATGTCACCTGCTGATCTCTGAACGTAGTTTCAAGAGGAGTGTGGCACCCACTTTGCTTTTCCGTCCCCTCTGTCTATCACAGCACTCCATCTCCTCCCGTGTTGTTTTGTTTGAGGGCGCGGGGCGAGTGTCCCCCCCCCTCTTATTCCACCACCATTTGCAGGTGTCCCTCTCCCCTCAGGTGAGTGCCCCTCCCTCCCTCCCTCCCTCCCTCCCTCCCTCTCCTGTCCGGTCCGCCGCTGCTCTGTATCGACTATCAGCTCAGCTATTGACCTCTCGCGGCGTCCTGAGCCGCCCGACCGTCACCGACGCTCGTACACGCACGCTAAAGTGGGAGCGGAGAGATATTGGACAGCTTACGGCGGCGTACGGGAGGGGATTGTGTGGCTGTATGTCACTTCGGTATCTATTGTGGGAGCTGAACAGATGGGTGGGCTGAGTTGCCTGCGGGGATATGTTGGTTTTGTGTGGGTAGGTTCAGTCAAATGTAGGATGCATTGTATGGACTCCTGTGCACAGCAGGAGCTCATTTTTGGTTACGTAGATGCTAAGGATTAGGTTCCCACGCGCTATACAAAACAAGTGTTTTTGCTCGGCGGCTAATATTCGTGTTTCTTAGGTGTGGTTTTATAAATATCTTTTAATCTCGATGTGTTTGCAGACTGGTAGTAAACTTTGCAGGCTGCAGACTCCAACTTTTCCTTATTACAGATTGGGTCTTGTGTGTGTTGAGTCCCACATCATGCGGAGCCAAATCAAGTTTGTAACACCCGAAATATTGGGCGGGTCTACAACTCACAGCCCTCGCTGCCTGTATTCGTGAAATCGTGTAGTTCACCATAGCGATATATTTCCATATGCAAATTATTTGCCATCTGCGAACCATTAACCCACCAGCTTTAACTATATGAACGTTTCCACTCAATAACTACAGATTCTGCCTCCCATTAACTGCCGCCGTCTCCCATCTCGACGTTTCGGGCCGTGATTTTAACATCCCCGACCTGCCGCTGTCGCCACGGTGGCTGACTGTAGAATCCACCACCCATGTCGAAATCTCCCAGTGTCCCCGAAACTCCGCCGTCTCGGCGCCTATTTCCAGCGCCGCGCGGCGGCTGACCGTGCATTAACAGAGCACACACGGCGGCCTCATTGTCCGCCCCTGCGGCCACATTCCGCCGCGTTGGCCGCGTTATGGGCAGCTAGTGAACTGAGCCGGCGCTGCTTCCTCTGCAGGTCGTACGAGCTCACCCGTAAGGACCGGCTCTGTAAGAACATCGAGAGGATGAAGTACATCCGCGGCGCCAAACACTTTGACTTCATACCGCCCAGCTACATCATGCCCACTGAGTATCAGGTGAGATTGTTTGTTTGGTTGTTTGTATTTGTATGTTATTTATATTGTTTTAAAGGTAGATGAATGATTTGGCGGGTGAGCTTTTTTAAAGGAAAATCATCTTAGAATAGGTGTGCTAATTTGTGTTGTGTTTATCCCAGCGAGTTGCACGGTAAGTCGAACGCCGCCTTCTTTCTGTGTTCTTTTCCGGGATGCTGTATCACCAATCATCATTACGGCTCACAGTGGGCCAGGCGCATCAAAAAAGCGGAATTAAGTCGAAAATCAACTTCGGTGAAATTCCTGTAATTATGGGATAGAGTATTGTAAAAATGTCCAAAGTTTCCGAATAAGCAAGTTTCCTTTCCCCAATGTCAAGGCAGATAATGCTATAACGTCGCAAAGTAGGACTTACCGACTGGAGATGGAAATGACTGCTGTGTACCATATTCCGTTCCCCCGATTCAAAAGCTCTCAGCGTAAAATCATTAAAGTTATTCCGTACAAAATAGCTTTAAAAAAACAGCCGGTATTTCTGCGCATGTTTCTCGTACTCAAGTTCCCGGGAACTATTTCATGCTTACTAGTAGCGGTGGGGTTTACAGTGCCTGTTCGGAACCGTGGTAGTGCAACGACGCAATGAATTTATATAAGGATATAAAGAAAACGTCACCGAACAACACGAAGATATTTGCTGCCTGACTTTCCTCAAGGTGTATAGCTTGCTGCCCAATGCAAATATTTTGCGCATTTTTGCGCGAAATGGACAAATAAGGGTTTAACCCTCGCCGGCATAGGCCGTTTTGCATCCCTCGACGGCACAGGGGGATGCGACCCTCCTAGCGTTTGGCCCCTAATTGAGCTAGAGCCTCGCGGAAAAAACCATCGTGTAGGTCGTCACGAGACGAAGCCAACGGTACCCGGTTTTAAGGTCATAGGTCAAATGGTGACCTCTGAGGTCAGGTCATTGGCCGAAAGTCGGGACCTGTTAGAACGTCGTATAGTGTGGCTGCTAAGGGGGTTTTCGGGATGCTGATCACGAATATCATGTTAGTTTTGATCACAGATGATGTCTTCATGCATTTAGGCCAGGTCGGGTCAGCTCAGGTCAGGTCAACCAGTATGGGTCCTGCCGGGTATTCGTAGTAGGTGTCAACCCGCCTCTGACAGCTTCGTAACATGTTACGAAGGCACCAAAACTACTTCGTAAATGTTCAAATGGTTCCTAAATTCGAATTCAGCTCCAAAAACTAGCCCAGAAACATGTAAAACTCGAAAAAGTGAATCGAGGTCATCGAAGGTCAATGACCTGACCTGACCTTCAGGTGACCTTTACACCCACCCTAATGCATGGGACCAACATCATATCACATGTTTGAACGCTTGAAACCACGAAAAGACTGCAAGCGCGCGGCCAATGCGGCATAGTGCCCGCCAGTCCCAGGCACATGTGCAGCGCAGAAATTAAATAATGACGTCATAGGTCAGTGACCTAGCGTAACCAATCAAATTTGAAAATGGATATCGGATTCGGCTTTAGCATGATATTTTACCCTGTAACGAATCGTTTTTGGCACCGCAGCTGTGCTCAATGATTTAATTCCGCTTTTTTGAAGCGCCTGGCCCACTGTGCGGCTCTTCTGTGGATAACTTTGTGGAACCGTATGTGTGCCTGCCGGCGATATTTTACGTCAATAGACCACGAACTATCCAGGAAGTTGTTCCGTGACAGTTGTACAGACTTCCTCGGTCGTGAGGTGCTGGCGTGACTCGTGTCACGTTTCGAGCGACCTCTGATGAACCGTTAGCACGCGTCTGTTGGCTGAGCCCGCTGGTATGCTGTTCGGCAAACATACCAGTACTGGGTTAGCCGTGTCGGCGGTCAGTTTTAGGGGAATAACGACGGATCACAACGGTCTGACGTGCGTCCTCCGTTTTCGTTTGACAGGAGTTTTGTTCGGCGTTTCTGAAGGACCGAGGAGCGTGGATCGTGAAGCCGGTGGCCTCGTCACGCGGCCGTGGTATCTACCTCATTAACCATGTAAGACCGAAGACGGATCGGGAAGGATTGTCTGCTGTATGCATAGTGCATTCCTGTGATGTTTATGGGGATCGAATCAGCTTTTTAATATGCGTTAGTACTTATGTCATCGGTAGATATGGTTATTGTTCACCCATCTGGTAGCTTTCACCTGATCTAGTCGTAACTTCAGCCTAGGAATCTTCGTTACGATAAGATTCTAATGTCAGTAGGTGAGGATTGTATGTCCTAAAGCTGAAAGCCTGGTAGATCATAAACAGGCGAATATGACCGTCAGTCAGCATAAATCAAAGAGATCCCACTGACTTCTTCACTGGTGTGCGGATTACGGGTCATAAAACCAGCCAACATGTATATTCCATCAAACATTGATCCCCAAACCACCCTGTGCTTTTCAATTTATGTAGTCTTTTTGCTCGCCATTTCCACCCCTACCACCACGACATGGCCTTCCTGCTCCATCTTCTGGGTGCTATCTTTTCATCTCTCATCCGTCTTCCGTCTTACCTCTCTCATCCCCCCCCCGCCCCCAGCCGGACCAGATCCCCCTGGACGAGAGTGTGGTGGTCTGTAAGTACATCGAGAACCCGCTGCTGGTCGACGGCTACAAGTGCGACGTGCGGCTGTACGTGGCCGTCACCTCCTACGACCCTCTGGTGATTTACCTGTACGAGGAGGGCCTGATCCGCTTCGCCGCCGTCAAGTACGACCAGAGCGCCAAGATGCTGTGGAACCCGTGTATGCACCTGACCAACTACAGTGTCAACAAGTACCACACCAACTACGTGCAGTGAGTCGGAGGGATCGGATGGGAGGGGCAGGCTGGGGTAAAGGGGACGCTGACTTACATTCTTGTCAATGAATATCATATTATTATGAATATTGTCTGCCAAGTTCGGTGATACTGAGGAGGTCTATTTTCATTTAGATTTGGTAGGACATTGAAGATAGTGATGTAATTATAACTAAGCAGAGAAATGAAGCTTTTCCTGTTTTAACGAGTTGTCACGGCATTTTGTCGAGAGAACCCATCGCTCTACCCTACATCCGTTTTCTCCACACATTTTTGCGAACTCTCCTTTTGCTGAGACCTTCCGTCCTCTCTCCCTGACTCTCGTCACACGTCCCTAACCTCCTCACCACGTCCTTCCAGAAACGATGACGCCGAGGTGGACGACTACGGTAACAAGTGGTCTCTGTCGGCCCTTCTGCGACATCTCAAACTGGCTGGCGAGGACACCACGAGACTCATGCAGGTAAAGGGTTTGGTGGGGAGCGTATCGCTGGAAGGGAGGGGTGTGGGGCGATGGGAGGGAGGTGTGGTTTTACGCTGAGTGTCATAGACCCGGGAACAGGGGGGCAGCGGGGGCGCTTGCCCCCCCAACTTGAGAGCCGAGGGGGCGGCGCCCCCTCAACATTGAGGCAGCGTGAAAGGATCTTTCTTCCCTTTTCCGGACTTCTTTCCTTCTTGTTTTCCATCTAAACATCATCACACGGCATTTTCCTAGCCATCTGAATGGTTTCTGCTGATACAGTATCGATTTCACAACATCTGCTATTGTCATCCCGCTTTGGTTTGGGCCTGGCCTTGGCCATGAGTTTGGCAGGCCAGATTTTATACTAGACCATTTTGAGAAAACTTTGAGAAATATATAACGTACAACGGTGGTAAAATCGTTGCTATAATATAGATATAACACAGTTTACCCGCTCCGGGTGTGAGGGAGGGGTGTGGGGCAATGAGTGCACTGACGTGGCGCCCTCGGAAGGCCGGTATCTATGGGATTAAAGCTCAGCGACACTAAGGGCTTGTCTGATGCATTTGGTTATCGGTAGCACCCTCAGAATCACCGGCGTATAGGGCCCTCAGAGCCGCCGGTAAGGGGCCTTTAGAGGCATTGGTATGGGCCGCGATGCAGATTACAGATTACAGATTACAGATATATTCAGACAAGGTCCTCTCAATAGTGAGGCTTTCAATAGTGAGGCAGGTGCCGGTTCGGGCGCACAGAGGTGCTAGTGTGATTCTCTCAGAGGCGCCGGTGAGGGTCCTTACAGGCGTTGCTCTGGGATCTCATAGACGCTGGTGTGGAGCCGTTACAGACGGGTGTGGGGTCTTTAGAGCTGCTGACGCGAACCCTCTACAAACCAACAGGGGGAAACCCAACAGGAACTACAAACCAACCAGTGACCGGCACGGGGCCCTTAGGCCGGCAGAAGAAGTCTTGTGGGGTCCTTAGAGACCGGCATGGTACTGTCAGACGCCGGTGGGGCCCTCAGGGCTCAGAGTCACCTGTGTGGGGCCCTCCAAAGTTTCCAGTGGGTGGCCTTTAGATGCGCAGGTGTTGACTGTTGGGTCCTCAGAGCCGCCGATATAGGGCTTTAAAAGGCACTGGTATAGGCACTCAGAGTTAGGGGTGTGAAATGCTCAGAGACACCGGTGTGGGCCCTCATAGGCGCCGATGAGGGCCCCCTCAGTTGCCGTTATGGGACCCTCGGAAAAATAAGTGTGTGACCATCACAGGCGGGAAATGCCCCTAGAACTGGCCCCTCATAGGCCGGTAAGAACTCTCAGAGGCCAGTAACGGGCCTTTGGAGTTTGGAGACCACCGAGGGGCCCTTAAAATCAGCAAGATTCCCTCAGAAGCCGGCGTGGGGCCCTTGTTGAGATTTTAGTGTGGTTATTTAGGGCCCATAAGGTGCACTAACGAGACCTATGAGGCCATTCTGAGTCGAAATATGGTCATCGTTAATCCTCAGCGGTCAAATGGCACCGCAGGTCCTCTCGGACCCGAGGGTCCCTTTCAACCCGATGGGTGGGGGGGGGGGGTACGTGTCCCCTTATACCCCTAACTACGCCACTGCTTCATATGCATCATGTCAGGCATTTTAGGCTCGCCCCCCCAACTTGAAAATCGTTCCCGGGCCCCTGCTGAGTGTGTGAGTGAGTGAGTGGGTTAGTGAATAAATGAATGAATGAATGAATGAATGAATGAATGAATGAATGAATGAATGAATGAATGAATGAATGAACGAATGAAGTGGAATTCATGCTGTCACGGATGTTTTGTGAGGTTCGTGGATGAATGGTCCCTTACGAGATCGAATATTCGATGTGACTACAGACTGACGTGATGTAGGCTCAGCGTTGTTTTAGCGCATTCGGGATGTACATATCTCTAGCAGATGGATGTCATTTATCGCCGAGAACTCATGTCTCTGTGATAATTGGAACTGCGTGCTATGTAATCGCCCCGTAATGATGCAGTGTCAACTCTGACCGACATTTCACGGAAACCGTCAGCTCAGGAATGTCGGTGTGTTTTGTAACGTCAATGATTGTGCTGTCCCACTGCGTTGTATGGTACTGTGACCTTTTCTATAATCGATCTTACATAGTAAATTATTTACTTCATAGCCTCATTCCGCCAAGTATTTGGCTGACACTAGCTGTCGATAGCACAGGGACAGCTGACATAATTGCCATCATTGTGTGAGAGCTCCAAAACACTAACCCTGCGTGATTGTCTGCTTGACAGGACATCGAGGCCATCATCGTGAAATCCATCATCGCCGTGGCGCCGACAGTGACCACGGCCTGTAAGATGTTCGTGCCCACCAGGAAGAACTGTTTCGGTGAGTGTCCGGCCCGGTCTGACCCGCGAACGATGAAATGACTCACGGCTGACGGACTGACTCATGACTGGGCGTCGGGAGAGGAGATTTCCTCACCGGTGGAAGCCTGATGATTGAACAAGGAACGGGTGCTGCCGGTTGCTTGGCGACTTTGGTACGACTTTGTTTGTTGGTGCTCATTAAAGATGTAGCGAATTTCCTAGTACGTAGTTTACCTCATTATTTATGAACGTAGCTTACCTGGTACTGCCACAAATCTATTTGTATCGTCCAAGCTTGACGCAAGCATAATTACGTTTACCAGGCAGCATACATGACATATTTGCATATTGCATAAGTTCTAGTGTATTGTATAATGTACTTAAAGCTGACATTCCTGGCTGTTGCTACCACCGAGTGTCAGCTTACATCACATCACTACACAAACCCCTGACGTTCATATAACCCAGGACGTCTTTTAACTCCTCCCCCTCCCGTTCGCAGAGCTTAACTCTTCCCCTCTCCTATCACAGAGCTGTACGGGTTCGACATCCTGATCGACTCCTCGCTCCGTCCGTGGCTGCTGGAGGTAAACCTCTCGCCCTCTCTGGGCTGTGACACGCCACTCGACAGCAAGGTCAAGTCGGCAGTCATCTCTGACCTGTTCACTCTGATCGGGGTGCCGGCCGTGGACCCGGGCCGCGCCAGACAGGTCAAACAGAGGCAGAGGGCTGTCGTCAGGGTGAGTAAGATTGGGGAAGAGGAGGGCTGGGGTGCGGGAGGAAGGGCTGGTGGGGAGGGGAGAGAGAAAGGAGAAGGATGGTTTGGACAGGAAATGAGCGGCCCGTGTAGCTAATTGGATAATCTTGATTAGGATGGCATTTCGAAATGCGTCTGGCAGCTACTGTGCGTAGTTAATTCTCTATTAAAGGGACCCTCCCACCTTAACATTAGATTTGAGTTGAGATAGCCAAAATGGGGTCCCTGGCTCACAATTACCGGTTTCGGCACTCACAACATCGAGAAATGCCTTAAATCGGAAATATTGAATTTCAAAATTGCAGCATTTTGATTCAGAGGGGCTAATGCATAAGAATACCCCTCTGAATGTGTGACGTCATCGCAGATATCTAACGATTTTTAAATGTTTGACTAAAATGTTTTGTAGCACGCGGTGGTATATGCTGCTTTGCGCGCAACAAATGCCGCACTTTTAAATAAAGTCGCTAGGAACAGCGGAGATCCCAAAAAGTAAACAAAAGTAAAGGTCTAATATCTTGAAAATCGGTGAATATTTTTCGATGAAACTTAGTAGATATTGGTTTTCGCTCTTTCTGAACCGAGCGACATCACTTTCATGCCAATTCATTAACTTTTTTGAAGGTGGGAGCCGGGAGGGTCCCTTTAACGTATACTTTAAATATTTTACGCTTTGTCTGAGTTCCCTTTTCAAATCAACCGAAATGCGACCTATCGATTAGGCAGCGAATTGTGTTTCGTTAGATCTTTGTAATGATATCAATGACAGTAGATTGGAGAATTGCGTATTACATAAGCATTTCCGGAGACGCATATCAATGTCAAATGTTCCTCAGTAGAACAACGTATTTATCGATCACACCTTCCCCTCCCCACCCCGTCAGGTGCGCGCCCCCTCCATGGACTCTGTTCCCCGCGGCGGTAAGCCGCTCCGTTCGGCCCTCTCTGCCGAGGAGGCGCGCATCGTCCGAGAGGTACGCGAGGAGGACGCGCGGCGCGGCGCCTTCATCCGCATCTTCCCGGCGCCCGAGACGTGGTCTCTGTACAGCTGCTTCCTGGCACCGGTCAACTCGCACCTGAACCAGATGCTGCACGAGGAGCTGTATCCGCACACCATCGGCGGCCCGCAGGGCAGCTCTGGTGAGGGAGACGGTGACCCGGGGAAACAGAGTTGGTGCGGGGTTGTGGTGGGGTACAACAAGCGAGAGGGCTGTCTGGTTTAATCGAGCTAAGCATGAGAGCTAAAACGTAATATGTGATAACATTTGGTATGCTTTTCGGATTGTATGGAGTGGGAGTAGAAAAAACCGTGTTCAAACTGGCTCCGCTGAACTCGCCGTATTCTGTGCAATGTGAGCAGTTAATTTGCCTCTTTATTCAGTGTGCCTGGTTCCGTGGTATTCAACAGTTTGCAAGTCTTCCACTTTGTTTGCCGTTATGCGCCCTACCACCACCGATATCCCTATACTGTTGTAGCTGTTATGACCAACCCTGCCCCCCCCCCCCGCCCACGACAGGTCCCCGCTCGCTGTGCCGCAAGAGCAGCAGTATCCCCTCTCTCAGCATCACGAGTCGGTCTCGCAGCGAGCGGACCGCCTGCTATGAGCGGCCGCTGGCGCGCGGCTCCAAGGACGCGTTTGTGGGCGCCGGGGAGGGCGGGAGGGACGCGGCCGAGCGGGCCACGGAGCGGCTCACCGTCAAACGGGAGATTATCGAGCAGATGCAGCGAGGTGTCAGGATGAGGTACGGACGCGCCTTGGGGACGGACTGTGGACTGGGGTGGTTTTCATCTAGAGATTTGTTCAATAGTTGCTGGGATAAGGTCCTTGTGCTTAGTGAGCGTCATATTCTCGAATATTTTCTGCTTACATGCCTACATGCCACTTGAAGCGTTGTTCTGCGTTCTGTTTGAGATTTGCCGGGCTTTGGTTTCATGTAGCCTCGAGTAGTCATTTACACCCAAAATTTGATTTCGTCAAAATTGATTAATTAATCGTCAAAATTTAGCCCTCCCTGGCGTGAATGTAAAGGTACCTCTACCTATATTGTCTCCCTCTCGCCCATCTACCCAACCCGTTCTAACCACGCCCTCTATCACTGTTTCAGCCGGTACCAGGCGCGACTGGCGTTCAGTTTCTACCTGCAGCACATTCAGCGCCGACTGATGTGTAACATGGAACAGGTGCAGGGCTCTGGCCAGCTGGAGCTCGTGCTGAGGTTCATCAGGAAGGCGGCGAGAAACCTCACCGACGCCTACGCCATTCAGGTTAGTGTGGAAATCACCCGGCCCGGGGAGGTGTGTGGGAGATTTGAGAGAGATAGAGAGATGAGGTGGTGGGTCGGAGAATGGAGTGTATGAAGCCGATCTGCTTCATGAATGTGGAAATGAGTATAGTGGTCCACTTTACGTAGAAAACCACATAAATTCGACAGACTGAACTTATTAGTGTAGCAGATTCATCTATTGGTCCCATCATGTCACACATCTCATCAGCTTGTCACAGCTCACACACCATCACAGCTGGTCATCACACATACTCCTACGCAGCTCATGCAAGCGTCTATTCGTATGTCTATCCCCCACTTCTCACAGCTCCGTATCTCTCCTTCCCTCAGACGCCGGGCCGACACTTTACACCGGTGGAGAAGGCGATCCTGATCGCCAAGCAGCTGGGCGACTTTATCCACCTGTACAACCGGGAGACACTGGAGCACGTGGCGCCGCGCGAGAGCCCGGCACTGCTGGACGCTCAGCTGCACAAACAGTTCGTCACCGGGGCCAGGTGAGAGACAAACGGGGATGAAGCTTGGCTAAAATGACTGAAAATGTTTGAGACCGATATTTGACGTGGTTTAGGGGTTGATCATGGATGACATTACAGAATAAAATAGTGTGTAATTGCTATTGACGAGGGCTGTTCACTGTTCAGTACTCAGCGTGATCTTGAATGGAGGACATGCAAGGAAGGAACATTTACGCTTTTTGTGAAACGCTTTTAATCACATTTCTACCTAGTTTTTATGTAGTTTTGCGCCAGTCAGGTGTTCCGTGTGTGTCCAATGTCAGCTCCTGTCAATGTTCCACTGAGTGTGTTCGTGTGGGTCTATCCTGCTCGAGTCTGACCGCGTCTCCCTCCGCCGTCGGCAGTGAGTCGGACCTGGAGGAGGCGCTCACGCTGCACACGTCGCTGTTCAACTCGGCCGACCTGTTCCTGGGGCGGGCGCGCGCCCGAGAGCCCGCCTCCCGCGCGCGCACCGCCCCCTCCAGCGCCGCCACCGACGAGACGACCAGCGTGGCGCGCACTGACGAGGACGGCGCGCCGGACTCGGAGACGGCGCGCGCGCGCCAGACGGGAGCCCTCTCCGTGGGGAACCTGCTCAAAACGTCCCTGAGGGACTTCCCGGCACCGGCGGGCGGCGGACGGGACAGAGTGCGAGCGCTCAACAAGATTTACAGGTAACGGACGGCGGCCGAACTGTAGCCTTCCCGCCAGGCTAGACCAGGGTCTGGACTAGGTCTGGTCTGGTCTGGTCTGGTCTTGTCTGGCCTGGCCTGGTCTGGCCTGGCCTGGCCCGGTGAAAGGTCTAGTCGGGTCTAGTATAGTCCGGGCCAGACGGACGCGCCCTGTGGGTGGGTGGGCAGCCGAGGGTCCCGTGGCGCCCCCTGCGGGCTGTCTCCGTAGGCGTGGACCTCGCCTTCACTTCCGAACCGATCTTCATGGGCGACTGCCGCGTCGAACGGCCGCGCCGCCGCGCTGCGAGCTAGCTAAATCACCAGGGTACCTGCGAGTTGGCTTACAACACTAGTCAGTGACACCATAGCTAGTACTTATTGCGGAGCCACTACCGTTTTCAGTGAGCGATTTGGGTGTAATAACGAATAGGAACTACTTTTCAGTAGTTTTGCGATGCGAGCAGACACTAGTTGAAGCGTCGAAGCATCGAAATTAGTCTGGGTTCAGTGTGCTGAAATGTTCAGTTGATTGCGGTACTAATCATGATACCAATGCGGCGCTTTTGCGTCGTGGCGAAGCTAGTATTAGTGATCACTTCTATGCTAGTGAAGCAGCAATTCTATTTTCAAATTAGTCAATGTTATGTGTTATTTTACTACGCATGCGTGTTTGTTTCAATATTCTTGTTCTAATCTCGTGTTGTTTTGTGTTATAGTTGTCTCGTTTTACGCTGAGTATCACTCTGCAATGTCAGCGATAAGTGATTATGGCGAAGCAACTGCCAGCTCACTTCCTTACACATTCTTTAGCTCAGTATTATCTGTCGGTAGTTTTTGCTATTCCTACATCCGAATACTGCCAGCTAGAGTATTATTTTTGGCAGTGGCCGAAGCTTTACCGCATAACTTACGTTTCCTGCTGCGTTGTGGATTATGCCAGGTCGATTGGTGTTTAGTGTGATTGTGTTTGTTCACAAATTATCTATTTATTTAGTACCAGCTACTTCCCTGAAAATCATGTGTCTTACGAGTGCAAACACCTATATGTGCTACTTACCAACGAGATTATTCAGGGCGCGGAGCAACGATCGTCTTTTTTCCTCGGCGATGACTTAAAGTTTGCGTGTTATGTACTGATGTCATGTTCCTCAAGCCGGGGCCTGCCAAGCCAAAGCCAATGGTGCACAATGGGCCTGTGTCGCGACTCCGCGTGGTCTGTAGGACCGCGCGGCGGGTGCCGACGGCCCGACCTGCCTTTCATATCGAGTCACTGGGTCACAGAGAGAGGAAGGGAGGGGAGAGAGAGGGATGAGAGGAGCGAGCGAATACAGTCAGGCACAAAGGGACTCTGTTGTTTGTCTAGCTGAGGGTGGAACAACGTGCTTTCACGTGGATAACACTGAAGCTAATTTGGGAAACTAAACGGTCTTGAATCGGCGACTGCTGTGTCTTGGACCATTCATAGTTATCTGCCTACATCCTTTTGATAGAAACACAGGGACGTACTGAGCATCGGTTTTGTGTATTATTCGTACATGGTCTCTTCTCGTATATCGCGACACTCGTATTCACAGACAATGCACAGCGGACATACGACGCTATATACACATGTGTACAGACTCTCACTGGCTCGGGAGGCGGCGCCGCCGGCCCATCACGCCCCGTACGTCCTCAGTTAACTTACTCCTCTCGACAATCGGTAATCAATAAATAACTTAATTGCTCGCGCACACACTCGCTGCCACTTGGATGCCGTCGGCGGCCGGCGCGGCGGCCGGCCCGACCAATGTCCTGGCTCCCTTCACTGGCGCGCCGCGCTCCACTGACGGCGCGATCGGCCCGCCACCTGTGGACGGGTTTGATAACTACTGGTTGTGGCGGCGGTCGCCTCAGAAGTTCCACCGGAAGGTGGGCTGCTGGTTGGGCGGCTGTCGTCCCAACTGCTCGTGAAGGCTCCGGCCGCTGCAGAGCGCGCCTGTTTCGTGAGTGGAGGGCGCCTCCGCCTTCTGACCTGCTGGATAGAGGGGACGGGGATTAGAGCTCGGCAGAGGTACGGATTAGGTGCGTACCCAGGTACCCCGAGCCCTACCACAACCACAGCGATCGCATGCATTCTTCATTCGATTCTTATTTTAAGCCACATCATCGTAATCTCGTTAACGTACTAGAAGCAGTCCTAACATCAGCCCATAACATGTATGTAGACCTCGAATCCCTGAACATCACCTTGCTCCCCGACCAACATCCACTCGTCCTCTGTTCCAACCCTACTCCCTCACCCTCCCAGTCCCAGTGAACCCACCTGAGTTTTTGCGCCGGTACACAATGGCGCCGATGACGCCGGCGGCGATGACGGTGACGCTGAGCGCGGCCACCACGATGACGGCGGCCGTCAGCGGGAAGCCGTCCCGCTCGGTGCGCACCACCTCGCGCTGCAGCACGTACTGATCCTCGGCGGCCGAGGGCTCGCTGGTGCCCGAGCGCAGGTCGGCCCACAGCTGACGGTCGATGTTCCCGGCGAGCAGGCGGGCCTGGCGGCGGCGCGGCGCCGGCTCGCCAGACTCAGCGGCGGGCTCTGACGACTCAGAGGGAGCAGCGGGTGCCGGGGAGGAGACGGAGAGATTCTGCAGAGTGTCGTCATCGACGCTAGTAGCGTCGGTGGCGGCGGGCACGACCGTCTCTGTGGACTCTCTGGAGTCCTCCTGCGGCTCCTCCGGTCTCAGCGCCCGGCCGAGCTGTCCTCCCCACAGCTCCGCGTCGCGGGAGGAGACCAGTGGGAAGGTCACCTCGGGGATGGCGGCCAGGGCGGCGGAGTCCTCCTCGGTCAGTTCGTTACCGGTCAGAGCGTCCTCCCGCTCCGGGACGGGGATGTACTGAGGAGCGGCTGACGGGGCGGCCGGCGAGGGCTCCGGCTCCGCTGCCGGGGCTGCCTTCTCAGTGGTTGTGGTGGTGGTAGTGGTGGTGGTAGGTTCCTGCTCTGTGGTGGTTGACGTTGTGGTTGAGGTGGTGGTCGTGGTGGTGGGGACCTCCTTGATGACCTTCTTTACGGTCACCGTCTTGGGCAGCGCGTTGACGATCACCACCTCGCGCGTGCTGTCCCAGATCGTCGACGACCGCTCCTGAAGAGACAGAAACAGACAGAACATATGTCAGTCACTGAGCTAGGGATAACATTTGGGTCTGCGTGTGACTAGATGAATTTGCGTTACTTTTGAATGCTAACCACGAAGTTATGCCAACCCTTCCGACTGCCAGTCACATCAGTCTTCTTTCGGCAGTTGCCCCCTCACACTTGACTGTCTCTTCTCCCTCCCTCCCTCCCTCCCTCCCTCCCTCCCTCCCTCCTCTCTCTCTCTCTCTCTCTCTCTCTCTCTCTCTCTCTCTCTCTCTCTCTCTCTCTCTCTTTCTCTCTCTCTCTCTTCTCTCCCTCCCTCTCCCTCACCTGACAGTCGACCCGCTCTCCGTTGACGTCTGTGAAGTACGGCTGACAGGAGCACGGCTCCACGCGGCACGTCGCCGTCGGCCGGGCCGGGCAGCTGGCGTTTCCACAGCTCTGTCCCCTACTACACGTGCTGAGCGATCCGCCCAGGTGGGGACACAGCACCAGGTCGGGACAGCGCGCCTCGCAGGCCGCCCGCGAGGCGAAATTGTTGGCGTTGCCGGCGCAGCCGCCGTAGGAGAACGGCTCGCACTCCTGGCTGACGGTGTTGTAGAACCACCGCACGTGGGACTCGTCACAGGGACCGCTGGCGGCTGGGAGTGAGCACACGTCCACTGCGGGCACGGGGACAGGGGTCAGGTCAATTGAGGGGTCAGCTTAGATCCGACAGACTGGATGATTGAGTAAGTGAATGAGTGAGTGAATGAGTGAGTGAGTGAGTGAGTGAGTGAGTGAATGAGTGAGTGAGTGAGTGAGTGAATGAGTGGCTGACTGACTGATTAATTGACTGACTGACTGACTGGTTGGTTGGTTGGTTGGTTGACTGAATGACTGCCTGGCTAACTGATCGGTTGACTGACTGAGGTAGTGAGTGGGTGACTGACAAAGTGACCGGCTTTCTGAGTGAGTGAGTGAGTGAGTGAGTGAGTGAGTGAGTGAGTGAGTGAGTGAGTGAGTGAGTGAGTGAGTAAGTAAGCGAGTTGAACTCACCGGGCTGCTGGCACTGCCGGCGGCACTCCTCCATCGAGCCGAAGTTGTTGTCGTTGCCTCCACAGCCGCCGTAAAGGAAGGGCTCGCACTGTCCCAGGTTCTGATCGTAGTAGAACCGTGGGATGCTGGCGCGACACTGGCCAGAGAGGACCGGCTGGCTGCACGGCCGCTCACACTGCACCTCACGACCGGTCACACTGAAAGGTAGAGGAGAGAAGAGTCACACATGCTCCTAATGAAGCTCAGGGAACATCAGGGACATCGGCGATCGTCCGACGACAACATGACGACATTACATTAAAATGTACCGGGCGCCTTATAATGCACTTCTATCCGTCTTCATCCACCATGAATCTTTCCATATCAGTGCAGAGCAGAGGCAGCCTGATTTCCTGTCGCTTTATAATACGGCGCTAGTTACCTAGCTGACACTGATTTCATATCCCTACCCCATTCCGGTAGTGTGTGCTCACCTATAGAAGGTAGTCTGGCAGTTGTTGCACGGGTCGGCCACGCAGACGGCGTCCTCGTGGCCGGGACAGGCGGCGCGGAGGCACTCGTGGCGGCACACCTTGGGCGTGACGCCGGCCGGGCAGACGGGGGAGAGCGACTGACGCTCCAGCAGGGAACCTGATGGAGAGAGAGAGGTACAAGGTCAGAGCTGCTGGGGGACGGAGATGATGTCGCGAGTGTATGCCGTTCGGTGCAGATAAACGCAGCTACATGTGCTGGCTGGCTAAGAGAAAAGTGAGCGTAACCAGTACCTAATAACCAGCTTTTACTACCCTCTCTCACCATCTTGTCCAAATCCTAGTACCCGGTCTGTCTCTCCACTGCCTAATGCCTATCTATCCCCGTTTCGTCTCCATCTCCCTGTTCCCACCTTCCCGCCCCCTCGCTCTTCCTACATCTACCCCTCTCCGATCCCCGCCCCTGTCTCTCTATTCCCCCCTAAACTCACCATCCTCGCCGCACCGGACCAGCCCTCGGGTCAGTGAGCTGTGCACGGGCCGGCCGGTGGCGGTGACACACCACATCAGCCCGGCGGCGCCCTGCTCCGGCCGGTAGCTGCCGTCCTCCCGACAGACGGGCGGGGAGACCACCATACCGTCGGCCAGCAGATCGGCACGGTGGGACGAGTGGTGATGTCCCGAGCCGGAGGGGCTGGGGGAGAGAGAATACTGGGGTTATAGAGGGCTACAGTGAGGTCGCATAGGGTCATGATGAGGTAAATACCCTTTGTTATGACCGGGAAGTCGCAGAAGTCGTTATCCTCAAGCGACATTTGACAATCCCAGCCACTTACATGATCCAACAGTACAAAACGCCGCATAATTACCCCTTGTTTGTCTTTGCAGACAGGACAAAACATCGGACCATTTCAAACGTCCTCGTCACTTCTACCATAATTATCGACTTCCTTTTATCTAATAATCACATACTTCCGTACACCCGAGCCTCCGGCGTGCCGTTTATTCGGCACGCCCACAATCCCGTCTCGCCCACATTCATTAGCCGGCGGTCGGGTGAAGGTCGCTCACCTCTGCGATAACATTCCGAGCAGTGCGGCGTACAGACGAACCGAGGAACGATCCCGTGCCTCGTACTGTCCGTGACGCTTCCACACAGCAGAGTTCAGCACCTGCCCGAACGACACAGATGTCATCAGAGAGATATCATCGGGCGACGGCTGGCCAGACAGAGATGGTGGGCGAGTGATAGGGGACACAATGGAAACAAAACATCGCACAGTTCAGTAACCGAACGAGAGGAGAGACGCAAAAACTCGCTCGTACTTCGAAAACACGTCAGTAGAATGGCTTAGACGGTGTAAGTGTTAATACGATTCAACATTTGGTGTCTGGGTTTTCAGCTCTGCTCAGAGTTCAGTGTTCACTGCTTCATTGGCTCTTATAATCCATTATGTCGCACTTGTAATCGCTGATTTTCAAATTTTATCTAAATTGATCACCGTCCGTAAAACAGGCTTACTGCTGACATGTCATGCTCTACGCCCTCACGATCAACTGACCTGCTGCCTCTCCTGCTGGCATTGTGACAGCCCCGTGCTGCAGTTGACCTCCTGGCCGTGACGGTCATAGAACCGGTACCCGCACCGACCGCACGGGTCAATACGGCACGTGGCAGTCGGGTCCGACAGGCACACTTTGTTCTCACACAGTGAGCGCGGACACA